ATCCCGCAGTCCCAGCAACTACATGCCATTCAAATGCTGGGCAGGCACAGAGTACTCTGACAGAAATATAGACATGTGCGTGAATATTTATGCCAGTAATATGTGCTGCTTTGTTCGAAACATTTCAGGTGATTAATAAGGTCAGTGAAACACTGCTGTAGGAGACGGCCTGAAGCTTCGTCCCAGTCTGTTGATGGCAGAATTATTGCAGCCTGATTGCAGAAATCAGGCAGGGTAGGATGTTGGCTTTGTTAGGGATCTGTTAAAGATCTTTGTGAAGGCGCCCATAAGCTGGTCAGCACATGCCTTGAGTACACATACCATCAGAGGCGGCAGCCTTCATTGGGTTCACTGCACTGGGCACTTGGTCTAATGTGTTTGTCCACTGTTGGCACATTCCACGTACTGTGAGTCCCTCTTTAACCATGCTTTGTTAAAATCACCAGCACTGATGAAAGCCCCGTCCACATGTATCTGCATGTATTTGGTGATGATACTGTGCACCTGGCATTAGCCATGCTAATGCAAGCCAACCACTGCAGGAGCCTTCCTATACCCTGCACTGTGTGGTGTTGGATGAGGGCGCACAGCAGAGAGACGAGTAGGACACAAGTGTTCAATTTGTGGCTGGACTACGCGGTTTATTCAGACTAGGGTCGGGCGATATGTAAGAATTTTCCAACCGACACCCGTCAGTCCAACAACCGCCGATGGGCGATATGTTATTATATAACATATAATAACCCAGATATTCGCACATGCGTAGACTTTTTGATGGGCGGGGCAATGTAATTATGCGCAGACTGATTTGCACATTTACAACACAGAAGAAGTCCAAACATGGACGAACTAGTTTCCAAAAACAAAAAAACCCAAAAAAATGCTGTCGGCGTTAACGCGGCTTAAACGCAGTCCTCACGATTTAAATTCTTAACGTGTTCGGCCCATCTGGAGCGCAGAACGAACAAACTTTGGACAAACTGTTTGAAATGTGTTGACAGAGACATTTTCGGGGATTTAGACTCAGTCTCCACTGAGTACGTAATATCGGATCGGTCCATCTCTACTATATGCCAAGATGGCGGCACACACAGTTGCAGCAGCTTACGGCTCTCCGTCTCAGTTCTGCTTTCAAAATTTACTGCACCCGCCAGAGCCTCTGATAAGTGGCCTGGCAATAGGTTGGAGATGGTCCAGGATGAGTCGTTCCAGGGTCTTCATGACGTAAGAAGTCAGTACCACAGGTCTGTAATCCTGGGGGTCTCTGGGACGCGGCGTCTTCGGTACAGGATCGAAGCATGAGGTTTTCCACAGCACTGGGACCCTTTAGACTCTCTGATCTTGCCCTTTAAGAACACCTGAACTATTCTCACCTCCTCTCTATTGCCTGCTCACCCATGGCTTCTTATTTGAGTAACAATGGACCGTCCGACCTGGGACAATGGACTTGAAATGGTTATGTTGATACACTCAGTAAGCTCATTGATGTCCTCACCATGAATTTCACAGAGTGTCTCAGCAGCTTTCAACTGCCGGTTGTCAGAAATGCCGCTTGCAGCCAGCCAAGTGACTGTATCTCTACATTTGTTGTTGATAAGTGTTTTTAACCGCTGATAATTTCAATAAGTTATAAATAATTAGTTAGTTCTTTAAAGAAAGAGCATCTCTGAAATAAACCCATTGTTCTCTAGAATATGGTTAAAGGTTATATCTAAAAAAGCTAAGGCACAGGAAATCAGGCTGTTGAGTTTGAAGCGCCTTCTTTGGCTGCCACTGGAAATCTGCACAGACCTTAAATGGTGTCACGTAGCGACCATCAGGAGTCAGATCTCCGGTCTTATTCAGCAGGTTCTCGCGTGGGATTCTCACATTGTGGAACATCGCAAACCTGTTGTGAGAGAAAGACGTAAATGTTACAGAAAAGAATTGGTTACACATCAAAGAGCGAGCCATTCAGTGGATTCTAATGCTTCTTTGTTTCTGGTGTGCAGGCAGATCATCATCATCATCATCATCAAAAAAATCAACCCAAATTTAAGAAAGAAAAAAATAAATGTTACCATTTCATTAAAAAAAAATTGCTAATGTTTAGTCTTGTGGCACCAACACATTTAAAAGAAGAAGTTGGGACGGAGGCAACAAAAGACTGTATTATTTAAAATATAGCGCAGGGCACTGAATTGGGTGATTCCCACAAAGCTGTGGTTAGTAAGTCTAGGTCATATTTTCCAAAACCAAAGAGACCTCAAGGAATAAATTGTTTGTTTTTTTAAAATAATTTTAACACAATTTCACAGTAATTTACTAAAGATTCTTATTTTATAAGTCTAATCTTCATGTGTTTTATCTTGTTCGATCACCTGCTTTTTCACAGTATTCATTCACGTTGTCTGTAGCTGGATTCACCAGCTTAGCTTAGCTTGTAGCCAACTCACTAGCAGCAAGGCACCTTCACCTGTCCCTTCTGCATGTTCCTGCTCAGTGGTCCAAATGTTTAGTTATGCACAGCTACTTTCAATACCACTGATATTTAGACTCTTTTTGTCCAATTGATCATCGAATTAACTTCAACAATTACTTTCACTAAACCAAGGGTTCAGTTGAGGAGTTGAGGAGGTCATTTAGCCATTTAAATCAGCTGTGTTCAAGGACATCTAAAACCTGCAGCACACCGACCCTCGAGGCCTGGCGTTGGACACACCTGCTCTAAAACATGACCATATCTTTTAGACCCCATTCCTAAAAGACTGCTCAAAGAAGTCCCACCTTTCATTGATGCATAAGTGTTAAATTTGATCAACCTATTCATTGGCTACATACCACAAGCCTTCAAGCTGACAATAGTTAAATCACTACTTAAAACCCATCGCTTGACCCAGCTGTCTTAGCTAATTACAGAATAAGCCAATCTCCAACCTTCCTTTACATGAAGCCAGAAGACACAAGAATTAGCTACGCTACAGCAATGTCTTAAAGACAAAAAGACCTGGATGACCTCTGCTTCCACATTCAGATAAAACTGAGAAATCGAGGAGGATGAGGATGATGTAGATGATGATTTACCTCTTCCAGCCATACATACATCACACAAACGTCACATCGGTGAGACAGGTCAGAACAGGTAGCGTAAAGAAATACAATGAAATGTCCCTTGTCCCTTCTTCTTTTTGCGTTATCAATTGATCCATTGGTGATTAAACTGCGAGCTGACAATTGCATTAAGGGCATCTTCAGAGCTGACCAGGAGCACAAAATATCCTTATATGCTGACGACCTCCTGTTGTATATGTCAGAGCCTTTATGATCTCTTCCCGTGCTCTCGCCATTTTTGAATGTTTTGGCAAACTTTCAGGTTACAAGTTGAACCTGCATAAAAGTGAACTTCTTTGTATCAACTCTGTAGCCAGGAAGGTTTCATTTTCAGATTTTCAATTTAAAGTTAAATCAGAGTATGTGGCCTATCGGGGGTTAAAGTTACCCACTCATACAAAGGTCTTTATGAACGAAACTTTGTCCCGCTGCTTGAGAATACTGAGACAGATCTTCAGAGATGGACCAGTTTACCACTGTCATTAACTGGCCACATCAGTTCTATCAAAATGAACATACGACCCAAGTTCCTTTATTTATTTCAATGTATCCCATGCTACTTACCCAATAAGTATTTTATAACACTGACTAAGCATATCTCTGCATTTATTTGGAACGGCAAACGTCCACGAATTCGTAAAGATTTCATGCGGAGAACTAGGCAAAACTTTCAGTCTTATTATTGGGCAGCAAATATTCAAAATATGCTGTACTGGATGAGTAGTTTCACTACAGAGACTCCAGCTTGGCTCCAAATTGAGTCATTGAGTCAAACGTGCCTATGAGCTTTGTTGAGTCCAGCGCTGCCATTAGAACTGTACAACTATAGACGTAACCCTTTGTTGTATGACTCGCTCAGAATCTGGGTGCAATATCTACCTATTCGGAACCATGGTAACAGGGTTCTGGCTGATCGGAGCTGGCTTGGCCCTGACTTATCGAAGAATTAAGAAAGCGGAACCAGCTGTTCAAACCCCCACAAGGCTGCCCGCTGGGATTGGAACGATGGGAGTGGCGTGAGTTTCTCAAAATGGGCTCATTGAGTCAGCACGGATAAGATCTTGGAGAGGCTACGGCTGCTGTGAATACTCAGAATAAGATCTCTGAGTGCAGACTGGATACATCTCGGAAGGGCTAGCTCGGAATAACATCTGTGGGCGCAAATTGGATGACATCTCGGGGAGGCACACTGCCGTGACTTCTCAGAAATCGGCTCCTCGAGCACAAGAAATGACAACATCACAGAACGCAAGTATGGCGAAGCTCACGGGTCTCCAACGGGAAATTGAGAGACCAGTGTTGGACTGTAGAACTGCTTTGAAATTCATTTGAGCTGTTCGCACTAAAGTAAAAATCACCATCACTTCGATACCCCTTTGGCGCCAGCGGCGGTCTCGAGGCTGGAGCCGAAAAACAACACCCTGATAACGACTGTGTTTAGTCTGTTCCTTCCCATCCCATGCAAGGCCACCTGGGTTGGCTGGAAGACTGTTTACTTAGCCTGGCAGGGCGAAGGACACTGTCTCAGCTGAACTATGGACACGCACACGCACACACACACATATACTGATAAGCACACACTCGTCCCCCTCCCTTTCCAAACGCCTTCGATGCTTTTTTCCTGATGGGGAACACGGCGGGGCTGTGTGCCGTGCTGGAATGGTAGCGCTGTGCAGGGCGGCTGCTGTGTTCGCCTTGTATTACTCCTCACCCCCCACCCAATCCTGTGGCTTGTCATGTCTTTCACAAAGTTGTGCTGTGGACAGGAGTTTTTTTGTTTCCTGTTCTCATGCTGTCCTACCATGAAAGCTCAGCATGAGTAGAGGTCTCTTTTTTCCTCTTGTACTTTCCCACTGTAGTGTATATTTCAGTGTTTTTCTGTAACGCTACCGATCTCCGACTTGTATCCCCATGTAATGTCTGTGTTGTGTGTGTAAGGTCGGGGGGATTGATTGATTGATTGATGTAGGAAAAGGTTTGAGTTACACTTAATGTCAATTAAAGCACTTATCTACTCAAATCACATGTTCCCACCCTCCATGATGGACTCTGCCTTTAAATATGGAAAAGTAATGGACTTAGAAATATCAAAGACCTTTTTGTAGATGGAATTGTTGCCTCATTCTCGCAGCTCCTGAAGCAGTTTAATGTTTCTGGAGCATTTTTTACGCTATTTACAAATTCTCCACTTTGTAAAGAGTCGATTTCCTTTATTTCCAGAACTACCTGAGGAAACGTCTTTGGATAAAATTATTAATATAAACATTCATAATACCGCCCACCCCTAAGACACAGTCATACAGTCTAAATGTCAAATGTGTGGTTAAAAAGATTCATGAAGATAACTGTAATGTTCGTTCAGTACTCTGAAACACTGTGTGTACCATTCCAGCACACCAACAACTCTACCTGTTGACTGCAATAGCCAGGGAGAACATATTTCCACAACATCAAGGGCATCATGTCTTCATTTGCTTGTGTTTTCCATCTTATTTTACAAATGCAGCATTTGCAGTCACCTACCCATTATCCAGTCCGTTCTGACCCAGCTTCTTCCCCATGTCTCCGACCAGCACACCAGGCAAAGCCAGCAGGGTCTTGGGATCTCTCACCTGGAGCAGAGTGATTACAGCTTAACTGGCTGTGTGTCAAATACACAAATCTACACAAACATCTGAAAATAACAAACAGTGTAAGATACCTGCAGTATGACTTTATTTGACCAACTCTGCTGATCATACATGATTTCTAACACTTATAGAAATCGTGGTGTTCTCAAGTCTTTTCAGACAGTTATCATTTTTAAGAAATAATGAAAATAACACAACATTTTTCTTTTATTTAAAATAAATAGTCTTTTGTATGCATCTTCCTTTTTGTAAGGGCCATGCAGCCCACGTTGTAGGTTATGCACAGCGCACAAGTGAGCGATAGCAGAGAGTCCAGGCAGGGTAAGTTGACATGAGGATTTGTGACAGAAGAATAGCAGTAAGAGTGAAAAGGAAAGGTTTATCTGGTGGAAGTGAGACCTGCTGACAGGATGACAAGCTGGAGGTGGCAGAGTGGAAGATACTAAGGTTTCTTTATTGACAGTGAAGAGAATGGACCAAATTAGAAATGACATAAATTAGAGAGACAGCACAGGTCAAGCATTTTGGAGACAAAATTAGACAGACATGCAAGCAACAGGAAAAGAGGAACCACAGAAAAGATTTATATGTCCTCCAGTAAGGGAAGACGTGTAGAGGGCTGCTGTAACAAGAGGATGCTTGGGACGGGGTGAGACGGAGGCAGATATCTGCTGTGGTGCAGCTGAAAAAAAAGTTACTTGAGGGACGCCATCTGAGCTTGAAAAATGATCAGGTACTAGTGATGGGCCGAGCAAGGCGTGTACAGAGATTTCAAAACAATCTGAATCCCATCTCCACAGTGACACCTGCTGGCCAATTTGGCTATTGCAACCCCGTGACAATCTGTGAAACCGAAACACAGACAAGTCCTAACAAAGCTACTTATTCCACCAGACTGTCAATAATGGTGACCACCACACACTTTGG